AAGCAGAGGACAGAGGTTTTTGGTTTCAGAAAAAATTAGTATTTGTATGCATAAAACAATACTCACGGGCATCAAGATGAGCTGGTATGTCAGGAGTAAATAAAATTTATGCTATAGTTCCAACAGTATGCTGCAGATATTGGCAAATCATCAACCCTCAGCCGCGATGGCTCAGGAGACCTTCCAATGAGGTGAACCGGAATCGAATCCCAGTGAAGGCTGGTAGATACGAATTCCGTAATCCGGTTTGCTCCGACCACAGTGCTGACGTGAAATATCCTCAGTGGTGGACGGATCATGGGTTAGAGTTCCCTTGCCATCATGCTTACCGTGGTAGGTTCTCGTGCTCTTCTTCTCCATGTAGCGCAAATGCGAGTTGATTCCATCAAAAAGGCTTCCACGCAGGCAAATTTCTCCCAATACTTGACCCATGAGTTCCCTTGTCTTCTGGATTGGGTTCAAAATTACATGGCTACGGAGTTGAACATTAGTAGTCGTAAACCCAAATTCGGGTCAGTTGTTCAACCACGGTTTTAAAATAAAATAAAAGTCATCAACCCTTGTTTTTACCCTGTTTCGTTTTCATGATGCGTGTGCCGTCGGCTTGGCGAGGAGCGTGGCGTTTTGGTTTCACGTATAATATCATTTTGTTCTTTTCCTTCCGCAAACCAAAGAGGATTTTATATCATAATTCAGTTTTTATTGGTTGACATTTTTGTAAATTTTGAAGACAAAACATTTTTACACAATATCATATTACATAATCCATTTTAAACATATAGATTTTTTTTATTAATTCAAGACGTGTTATGAATAGCTTTTATAAAATAGCTATAGTTAATCTTAATATAAATTTGCTTAAAAAATGTTTTTGGTTGACCACTTAATTAATTATTTTTATTAATAAAATGAAATAAAAGTGTAAAAAAAAGCACACGTATGCCTGATAATTTAGACCATTTATGATTTAATTTTGTGTACATTTTATTTATCGATTTCGTCCTGCTTTAAATGTTAAGAAAAATCTAATATCATTTCTTAGTTTGCACTAATACGTACTGAAGAAATAAAAATGAAATTTAATTCGCAGAAATGTAACTGAATTATTCGGGAACATCGGTTACAGAAAATTGTCGTCCGTTCCATCTTAATCTAAATTGCTTCTGAGTTTTAACTCAGTTTGTCAAGAATATTGCAAGGAAGAATATTGATTCAGACGTGATTGAAAGCTGGTCTTAATCCTTTTATATTAAACATTTGCTAGACTTATGTTTACCCATCCTCCCTTTTACTTGATTTAAAAATTATGTTTTCAAGAGTGGCAACACTACAGCAGTCTTCGACGTTATTTTGAAAGAAAATGTATTTTACACTAAAGGCGAGAATAACGTTTGTTTTTATTTTTTTTCCCTTAAGCAAAGAGAATTTTTTGTATGGAATGAAAAGTTCTGAATTTTTTGTTTAATAATCAAATGATTAAGCATCCTGACTTGTTTAATTAATATTAACAAAAACAAATAAGGGAAAAATTTATTAAACTAGTCAGTTTTAAATATTAAAGTGTTATGCATTTTTTAACCCATTTCACGTGAATAATTAAAAAAAATTATATTTGCCCTTTTCTTTTATAATTTAGTTAACCATAATTGATAGTTTAAGCATTAAAAAGTTATTTTACTTTAATTACTTTCAAAAAAGTGAAAATTGTAAGACTTTTATCTTTTATCATTACTTATCAGTTTTCAATGCAAATCTCGCCAACTGTTTATTCGCAACTATTTTCTTTTCCTTTTTCGGTGAAATATTTTAGGAATATATCCACAAGTGAACAAGACTAAATGACCGTCAAAAAAAAATTTAAAAAAATTTTTAATAAATAACGAAAACGTTCATCAATATTCAAAACAACACTCACTTTCATATTCTTTCCTCGTTTGATAGCGCTCATGAAATCATTTTTTAGCCAAAAATAATTTTTATGGTACCGACAAAATTTAGTTTGTCAAAAATTCAATAAAATACTCAAATATAAAAATTCATCTAAGCAATAATAATGACCCGAGAATAATAGAAATTAAATAATTCATTCCTGTGGCTTTAAACTTTTAATCTCAAGCATGCAATGATTTACTGCAGCAATTCTTTTTTTATTTTTTATTTTTTTGGAAATTAAGTAATAATCCAAACTAAGTTCCTTCCACTTCTAATAATAGGTCATCACTTTATGAGTTATTATTCAAATATATAATTCAAAATAAGTACCATACATCCCGGTGTACACAGTAAAAATTGCGGTTATAAAGTACCGGCACTTTGGGTGCAGCATCTATAAAATTCATATGACCGTAAAATCAATTTCTTAACGTAATGTTATATACTAATTTTTACAGTGATATTTGTTTAATTCGAATGATTCCGAGATTTTATAGTAATTATTACTGCCGGTGTACTTATTGTTGGATTCGGAATTTTTTACAATGTACGAGTCGACTTTTCAGACCCTCAAAATTTTTATGAAAATCAGGGGGTCGATTTATACACCAGTAATGTCAGATATTCGTTGATTATGAAATATCGATGCATTATAAGCAATGAGATATCTCCGTATAAATCTACTCCCATCAAAAACTATTTTTAAAATGTCAATTAATTTTAATTAATTTCAATTAATTTTACATTTTCTTTTCTTTCAAAACAACGCTTTAAATTGCGTTCAAAAGAAGAAGAAAAAATAATAAATAATTTATTCAAATAATTAAGAAGTATAACATAATGAAAACTTTTTAAACTTATCAATAAATTTCTAATTCAAAGACACCATCTGTATCAGATTCAATATCGCTATCTGTGTCCCCAATGAATTCGACTTCATCCCCTGTTAAATCGAACAAAAACTCGCCTTCCCCCTTATTCCAAGAATTCGCAATTCTAAACATTTTGAAAAAATTTATCATAACATTTGAATCCACGTTTTACCACGTGATTAGTATCATTTGACTGATCACCTTACAGTATTTGTTAATGCATCTTTATTTGAACGTAAATTTGTCATATGCTGAATAAACAACGTTAAATATTTCCAATTATAAAAATTTTGCAAACTTAAAATTTTTATTCTTTTTACATTTTAGAGTTTTTCCGATTTGGTTTTTTCAGCTGTCAACATATATATTCGATATACCAGAAATTTGCTCTCTCGTTATCGTAAATACGAGGTCGACTTACACTACGGGTCGACTTACACAACGAGATATACGCTAATTATAATAAGAATTTATGTTATTTATTTAGCGTAAATTAGGGATTGTTTTCTTTTGGATTGACTATAGACTAAGAAAGACAGGGTGGTAGATTTCATTAACATTTTTTAATTAGGTATAAAACAATTGAATATTGCACCAGAAATTGTTTGGTATTATTTTCTTTTTAAGTACTCTTTAAAAAATAAACCTTACAATTACAAATTATAAGTAATCATGGCAAGATCCGATAATTTTTATATATTTTCAAATTTTATATATTAATTAAATAAAAAAAATAAAAAATATTCATATTTAGAAAAAAATATAGCTAGTTTTAAAATATTGAAGCATTTATTATTTTAATCGAACAATCGCTATTAAAATGCTCCTTTAAATTTAGCTTTCTTCCTTAATTTACTATATGAGTTAATAAGAGAACTAATGATTATTCAATAAATCCTTTTCGAATTTAAAGATGTTAATGTAGAGTGTGCAAAAAGCACCCCTGAATAGCTTTTGATCTAATTATCACGAATTAATTTGCACGTTCTAGGACTTAATCTTAATGGTTCGAGGGGTTGATCTTAAAATATGCTACCTAGTTAGTGCTGACGATATTTTAAATTACAAAATCAGACATAAAAAAGCACTTTTTCGGAAATAAACGTTTTTTTTTTCGACAGATTTAGATTTCTGACTATTAGAACATTTGGGAAATATGCTCCTAATAGCTGACTCAGAAGGGTTCACAGTTTGTTGACTCTCTTAATGTTGATTTTATTTTTCCTCGTGCTTTGCCATATCTCGAAAACATTTTAAGCAAATTGAAAAATTTTTGCACACAATTATAAAATTCGTTTATTCAAAAAAAATCGCTCCAAAAATAACTTCTTATAGTGAATATTTATTGTTTCATATTCTTTTATTCAATGATAGTAAAAAAAATTTTTAAGGTATCCAATTTTTTTTACATATTTTTAACGAATGTAGTTTTGTATGTCAAAATAAAATTCTTTATCAAAATTGGTTAAATAGTTCCTAAGAAATAAAAATTTAAAAAAAAAAATACTTTTTTAAAAAACCACTTTCTTAAAGCTTGATTTTTCAGGAATTATTCATCCGATTTCGTTCAAAATTTGTATTTTTCTCTATCCTGTAAGCCAATTCGGGTAATGCAATTACTGTTACACCATTTCTTTAATTTACCTTACCTTTAATTTCTTTATTTTACTTATCAACTTCAGCGGATCAACAAGGACAGAGTTTGTATACTTTTTTTGAAGAGTTCTTGTTTTTGATCATCGAAATAAGGGGTAGACACAAACTAAAAAATATGACCCTAATAGTTAAGCTAAGAAACCGATTTCAAACTTGACCTCGTTATCGTTAATAGCAGTATTTTCAATTATTCTACATCATTATTATACAGAAAATTTACTTTTAGTTTTAAAGTATATATCACGCTATTTTTGCAAACATTTTTATCTGGCTATTAAAATTGCCTAAATTTTAAATGCTAACAATATTTTCTTGTAGTTATATTGCAAAGAAGAAGCGAATGTAAAAAAGTACTAAAACAATTGTGTTGTAATTACCGACAACATAGCGTTTTGTTCTCGTCAACACGGCTGGTTAACCCTGAAAAGAACTAAAATTGGTGTCGAATCCTTTGTTGGCTGAGTATCTGTCTTTGGCGATGTGATTGTTGAAGGCGTCGTCTTTTCTAAATACTATTTCCGACGATAAATGTGACGGCAACTCTATTGAATGAGCTTATCCGTGCGTAAGTCCAGCTGAGAGGCCATCTTCAAGGGTAGCTGGTCAAGCGCAAACAGATTTGAATATCATAAAGAATGCGGGTCAGTCTCCCGCGGGGATAGTTCTGACTAGGCTTTGGGTCATTTTTCAATGATACTGTTTACTGATTTACTTTAGGCATGTGATCTTGGTCGAAGATGGAGATTACTACAAGGATTTTGTTTTATAATTTGGAATATGGCATATAGAGGGTAAATATTTCTTGTTTCCATAGCAATATTTATTTTTAAAATTTAAACAATAATTTTTTTTTTCAAAATTATGTTCGGTGCATTTGGAATCATCTGAAGCTCTTAGAGTATTTATTTTGGAGATTAAAATGATTTTTAAAACCTCGCTTATAAATATTGATAAATTACAAAATTTTGCAAGATTTATTTCGAAAATTTAGAAAATTTCTTATATCTACTGACAACAGTGTAATGATTTCTAAAAAATGCCAAAAAGGCACAAGAAAAGGAACCATTAAACTTTAAAAAAATATCCCTTTAATTATCTACTAAAATTAAGAATCGACAATAGTTAAAATAAGTATAAACTTAAGCAAAATCAGGAAAGTTAAACTTTATAACTATGGAAAAATACCTAAATCAAAACTATGATCACTGAACCAGGTTAAGGAGGACTTAAAAGTTATGAAAAATCAAGAATTAGCGAAAAAGAGGCATTGAGAAAGTGCAGTGGAACTCTGTAGTTGAAAAAATATCAAACCGTACTAAGGACTGTAGATCTTGATAGAAGAAGAACATAACATTAATTGTTCTTGATATATATCATAACTATTGCTCTTAGCATAGATATATCATAGATATTAAATCACTTAAAACATTCGATACCCAAATAAGATGCACTACCCTACAATAATGGAAAAGACGCTTTCGGAATGTTTAAAGATTTTTAAAGAAATACTTAGAGAATTATTTTGTAACTTTAGACGTAAACCACTTTTCCAAACGGATCAATAATATTTAAAGATTTCAAAGGATTGATGAATTTGTAATAAAATATGAACAAAAAAGAGTGTTTTTGAACATTTTATGAGAAAAAAAAATTTGCAATAAGCTTATAACTTGTAACAATACTTTAGTTATTATATGTAATGACTGTAAAAAATTTCGTAACCGTAGCTTAAATATTCATAAAGATTTTGGACATAATTTTCTTGCCTTGTGATTTTTTAGTATAATAGTAAAAATATAAATTGTAAAATTAGGCAAAATTTTGGTAGTAATTTTTAATTTATAACAAAAGTGTAATTTTTATATTTGAAAAAAAAAATCGTTAGAATATTCGCAAGCCATAAGCATTTAATTTAATCCCTTCATACTGCGCATGCGCGGAAAAGGTTTAAACTCTTTTTTTCATAATTTAATTCAGAATCATATTTGGTAATTTATGAAAAAAAGTATATTTTGAATATCTCAAAGATTAAAAAAATTTCAAACAATTTTCTAAGTAGTTTTTGTAAACTTCGAAAGAAAGCTCGAAATTGTAAGGAATTATTCACGAATATAATTTTGCATTATTAAACGAGATTTATTAAAACATAACAACGGCACTATAGAGAACCATGCCATACTGAAGTAAGTTTTATTTCACACGTTTTCTATCCTTATACCATCACATTTCAAAATCTCTTATCATTAAGTACAAAAGCTACTTAGAAAATTACTGGAACTTTTTACATTTTTAAGATATACGAATTGATGTTTTTTTCTAAGTTACTGAATACGATCCACAACAAAATTATGAACAAAAATTAATGTTTTAATTGTTTTCATGTTTTGCAGAACTTTAACTGAATTGTTAAAAGCAACTCTCTTTCTTTTGATGTTGTTCCGCCTCCACTATTTCACTTACTGCCAGAAAATTAATAATCTGACTTTTGACGATGATTTATCTTTTACCAATAAAAATAGTTCCCACAATCGAGTAAGAAGAAGAACGCAGGGAACTCAAAATGGAATCTTTTTTCCTATTGCTATGTACACAGTTCGTCATCATAAACCAAGTAAGTGACATTTTATAATGAAACATAGCATATTAGATTTTTCTAGTCAAAGTTGTATTTAATAATTATTGATCCCCTCTACCCACAGTGTTGTAAATGGTGACTGTTGCATGTTTAATCTGTCCCATGGTTAGTTTGAAGGCCAGAATACTATATCTCATAATCAGACTACTACAAGAAAAAATCTGAATTTTGGCCTTGAGAGTTCGTATTGAAATAGTTTTTGCTGGTATTTGAATAAATTCGAATGGATTTTAATATCCAAAAAATAGAAGTTCAAGTTTGAAAATATTTTTAAGCTTTTCATTTAATTAAATATTTTATGTTCAGTTTCTATGAATGTTATTAATATGAAGAAAATGTCGGAATAGTCTGGTTGACAGGGTGCTGGACTCAAGTTTGTGAGAACAAGATTTCGGTTCCAGCAGGCCTAAGACTCCCCGTGTAGTAAATGGTGACTGGTGCACCTTTAAATCTGTCGGGTCACAAAGTCATCCACGTGACCATAACAAATCAATACCTCTGGGGGTATAGCATTGGAGATTCTAGTTCTAGTTAAAATTACTTTCTGCGGATGAAGGAATGGATGTATGAATGGGTCCACTCATTAAAACGGGCTGTGACATGTGTGTGCTGCTGAAGACTATTCTTGGCAATAGATAACACCAATAATAGCACCTTTACCTTAAATTTGCTTGGTTTCACCAACCAGGCTTGCTGGTATGGCAAGTGACATTAGAAACAACAATATAGTTAATGACTGACAATTAACGTAGTTAAGAACGTAAAATTGGAGAAGTTCCGTAGTACGGTGCCAATTGACCATGCACCTTGCTCGAACAGTTTGAACAGTTACCGTACCTAAAAGATTTTAAAAGTTGAATCGCTTTTAGTTTTAGACATGATAATGGATATATTCCTTACTGCATTTTTTATAAACAAACGAATTAGTGCTAAACAAAATATTTTAACATCAAACATTTATTTGTAATGCAAAATATTTTCTAGCACTGTATCAACAATATTTTGTAATGTATTTTTTCATTAAAAGTAAAATTTGCGCATAATATGTATTGTAATAAAAATCTGATTAGTGCAATTTAAGTAAACTAGTCAAACCAGAGTGCAGTAGAAATTTTCTTTAAGTTTTTGTAAAAAAATATATTGAATATTTATTGAAACTTTTATCTTTATTTTTTTAGCAGAATTATTTAAAATGTTAGCTAAAAAACTACTATTAAATAAGAAATTATATAATATCACGTAGAAACTATGAACTGGACTGTTGAAGTATTTCAAAAGTTGATATAATTTGGAGAGCATTTTATTGGATAACCTCTCACAAAACTTGCTCATTAATAAAAAATATAGTGTTATAAATATGCCAAATTCAGAGTTCTAATTCAGCACTTATATAAAAATATAAATGGATTTTAAAAAAATTAAAATATAAATGAAAATTTTTTTAAGGACAAATAGGGAATTTTAATATCCTTAAACAAAAAGGGAGTTTTAATATCTATTAAATTATTTTTGTCTCACATAAATTAACTAGTAAAGTAAACTATTTTAAATGCAATTTTAAAATAGGTTTTAAGATTTTCCACACTACTAATTTATACGTTCAATAAATTGAATAGTGTACATAATCAAGAAAATTATTAACATTCAAAATATATAAGTTTTTTTGTATTAAAAGAAATATACTCTACAATTAATGCAATATAATCAATGAAATTAATTCATTTGGATAGAGTAAGAGACATTATAAAAATTAATTTACGCATGCCCAATAAAATTTGACTTGCAATTTCCACACAAAATTAACATCAAATAAAAAGAAAAAATAATAATTTTTTTTTAAAGAATATGAATTGGCCAGCTATTTATCAGATTCAAATCTTGATTGGAAGAATAATTATAAGAAATATAAATTTATTTTTCTTTATATTTATTTTCTTATAAAAATAAGATAAAATTATTTTTATGACTTTTTTTATCGTTATTGTTTTGGCCATAATTCTGTTCTCCCCGAGTACTTTCCTTACTTTTCTGTATGTGTTTAAGCCATTTTGAAATTAAGGTTCAAAATTAAACCGATTTTTTGGAGAGTGCATGAAAATTAAGAAGTGTCAAGTATAATTTGATTCTTGCTATAAATGAAATTCATTTCAACTGGGGAAAATAAAACCACTAAAAAATTAACAATTTCACATAGTCACTGAACATGTTCTGTAATTTTTAAACAGAATTAATAAACAAAAATTATTAAAATGATTACATCGTAGTGAGAAAGCTATGCAAATAAATTTTTATCATTAATATATCACACGAGAAAACAACTAAAATAGTAGTTTTTTTTTATGAAAAATGAAAATTTGTACCCACTAAAAAGTTATGCAAATCTTGAAAGGCTCTTTTCACGCTTTAAAAAAATTGCTTTACTTTTACATTTTTTAAAATAGAAATTAATTGGTTAAAAAAACTCTGAGTAATATACGTTAAATAGGTATTATTTTAATTTGTAATTTATGGAAAAATTTTCTATCTTCTTTTGAAACAGTAAATGCAAGCAAAATGTATAAGTAACTAATTTACTTATATTCCCCCACATTACTTTAAATTTATTCAACTCCTCAAAAATTCTTTATAAAATGTCATTTTATATAGAATTCTACTGTAATTTATATGAATTCTTTTGGAAGTTTTTAGTGGATTCGTTCAAGAATCAAATCGCTAAAAAATGTTATATTGGTTAACAACACAGATAATATTGGGATTGATTTTGCATTCTGAATTTGTATAATTCCGCTATTTAACACAGGGAAAACTAATGGTGCCAATTTGGCCCCTCTAGTGTTAAGTTGCTCTGTAATTCGAGAAAAAAACTATTGAAAGTGTTGAGTATTTCTGTCTTTTCATAATTTGATCCTGTTTAAGTACTTATTTAAGCATTTGTTTGCTAGCTTTAAAGAAACGTATAAATGAGACCCTATACCTAGAATGACGAGAAGGACCAGAGGGGCTCCTTTGGTATTTTGGTAGGTACCAAATATCGTTTACCCAAAACTACCTAATCATAGGTAGTTTTAGGTAAAAAAGTACCATTTAGCATTATAAGGTACCCTAGTTTTATTTAAAGAAAAACAGTAGTATTTAAACGTAATTGTAGGTACTACTACAATTATTATTTATAGAGAAAAGGATGTACTAATGTATATACGAATAATTGAAAATTCATTGTATCATTCAATATTTTCGTTAACCAAATCGAATAAAATACCATAAAATTTCTATGTTAGTTACCCGAAAAAGACTGTTAGTTCTTGATTAAAAACATCGTTTGCTTAAAAAATATATAAATCGGAAATAACAGTCGAATTTCCTATTTATATATTTTTGAGGTGTTTTAATCAAGTTACCGCTTCAGTTTCTTAAAATTACTTATTTAAGTATATTATTTGTTTTTATTAAATTAATTCAAATAAGGAATTTGGATGCGTTATTAATCTACACACAAACAATCTGGAAAGGGCTGAACAGTCCCGCTTAGTCTTTCTAGTGTAGTTACATGAGTTTTACTAGTTGCTAAAACACATATTTTAAAAATGACATATGTTCATTGAATTAGAAATAAAAACGCATGTATGGATTCAAAATTTAATCATAATTATCATAATATATATAATATTATAACACGTAAATTGCAAACAATATGCTAAAGATACATACCGTTTTGTACAGATTAGTTTTCTTTATTCCTTTATTTTATTTTTCTTTCTTTATTTTATATTTAGCTAATGATAGGGGACGTGTAAAGCCTGAAACATGGGAATATAGAGGTCAGTACTTTTACGGCTTTCGTCCCAGGCCGAACAGCAGCAGAAGACGTGCAGCTCGCATCTTAGCTGCAGGATTGCCTTTACTGCTGGCACCTCTGCTTAGCATCATTTTTTCCTTCCCTGTTGTTGTGCCTGTAGCTCAAATGACAACCATCACTGGTCCACTAGCTGGTGCCCCAATCTACGGGAAAAAGAGAAAACGACGTGGTACCCAACGTTTTGGAATGCCGCCACCTTCCGATAAAGCAGCAAGAATGAAAGAACTGGAAATAGTTTCAAGCTACCTCCACCAGGTAAATTAAATTAAATTGAAATAATTTAATTCAGAATGTATTTTAAAACCAAAATATCGAAATGCATTGAAATCTGGAGAGTCCAAAAGCCTGGTATTCGCACACATCGATGCATGTCGCTATATGGTGATAAAAAATTATCATTCTAACACTATAAATATTTCTTAATATTTAAAAACCGAATTATAATTTCATATAATCCTTTTCTCAATAAATGAAAATCAGAAATATAATCGGTAATCATTTTATTCAATAAATAACCATGACTTGTTCAGAATAAATCCTAGTTTTGATTCCCTCTATATTTGTTTAATACTCTAGCATAGAATTCTAAAACTTTTACACACCGTTGCTGAATTTTTCGATTTTATTAAAATTCGATAAATATTTTTAAAAGAGGTAAAATCAAAGAGGAAATTAAATATTCTTTTTTTTAATTTTGATTTGAAGATTCAATATATAACAGCAGCCGAAATGAAATCGTACATTAGAATAGTTTTGAATAATATGAATAATTTTCGTCAAGGAAGGTTAAAAAATCATGGATTGGTTTTTAATTGTTTTAATTTACTATCAAGTCTTTCCTTTTTTAGCTCTAAGCAATAAATTGTGTTGGCGAAATATAAAGTGTGAGAAAAAATAAAGAATTTAAATAAAATAGTAACTTTTAGCAGCCATGTAGCAGTTTTCGAATTCGATGTTAATATATTAGGCAGATGTGGAAAAATTTTCTAAAAATAGATTTTCTTTTGAACTCAAATCAAGGTAATCGAATAAAAAGACAACCGAGTTATATTATTTTTATTTATTAAGAAAAGGATGAAATGAAATAATAATTTAGTTTTTAAATATTATGAAATATGTTATGAATGTTTTTACTTGGCAAGGATGCTTGCAGGATGATCTGAAAATCTTCAAAATGCCCTAAGCAATACATTATGAACATTTATAATACCTGAAAAATATTACCAAAATACATATAAATGGGAACTCAATAGCATAAACTCACAGGCAGTATCAGAAACGAAAATGGGGGATTCATAATTTCCTAGCGTCTATGTAACTATTAAAAAACTATCACCAAAATTTTACATAGATCCATAAAACTATTAAATTTAAAATATACAATGATGTTGTTTATCTCCCCTATTTAGTTGGTAGAAATTTGTGTAATATCAAGAAGTAACAAGTAAAAAAATTCATTCAAATTTTAAATATATGCAATACGATTCCCTTAACAAATTATCTCCCTTAAATCCAAATTTGGTGTAACATCAAAAAAACGTTGCATTAGACCATATACTATAGTGAAATTTTACAGTATTGTAGAACCATTGTAGAATTTTTGAAACATATAATATTGTAGAATCATATATGTAGTAATGTTGAACCATATAGTACTGTTCAGCCATATAGTATTATAGAATCACATAGTATTGTTGAACTATATTGTAATCAAATTTAAAATATGTGATAATATAGTTCAACATTTCTATTTAGGTCGCAAAAATTTGTATCTTATCAAGGTTTAACACACAAACAATTTGTTCAAACATTAAATAAATTTAATTCAATTCATTTAAAAAAAATATGGTTTGCGCCCTCATTTCATCATTGTTTCTTCTGTAAAGCATAATTCAAATAAAATATCGGATGAAAGGAAAACCGATGACTAAAATTTTAAATTCGTTAGAAAATATAAAAGCATATTTTAGCTGAAACTTCTCAATGTGAAGGAAACATCCTGAATTTGAAAGCGGCACTATTCAGCCAGCTCGAAAAGTTTTATTAAATTTATAGCGCGAGTGCTTGACTTTGGTGATAACTTTTCTGGATTAAGAAGATAGAAGAGCGCAAAAGGCCAAACGACAAAACTTAATTTTTCTAAAATTTACTTGATAAAATTAGATTATATCACTCTTGTCCTTAAGAGGACCGCCATACCACGGGAAAAACTTTTCGTCGCAAATTCTCGTTCACCTTCATAAGTGATTTAAAATTTAAAGTATAGAAAAAAGAAGTTTAGGCAAATCTGGAGTAGGCCATGAAGTTTCAAATACTGAGAAGAAATTTTTAAAATATCAAAATGAAAATATATTATTAGAAGATAACTTATGATTACGCAATGGAGAAGTTCTCTTCCAAAAATTTGTTTGTATTTTGACACTTCGAAACTTTTTTTCAGCAATTGAAACTTAATGGCTTACTTTAGGTTTAGTTGAGCTCGTTTTTTCAGTTTTTTTAAAAAAAAATTTAATTAGTAATGGAGGTTAAAAGTAATACGTGGCGAAAAGTTTCTCAAGTGATATGGCATCCTCGTAAATAAGGAGGGCGATTAGTTGAAAATGGGTCATGCATCAATTTACCTTAATTTTTTCGTATTTTTTTACTAGTTAAATTGAGCATCAAAACAGTTTTTTGTTCACGAGAACATACTTTTTTCCAATCGAATAGTGCAAATGCAAATAAATAAATTTTTGATAATCTGTATTTTTGTTATTCCAAATAGGCATTGATCCTAAATATTTTAAAATAGTTAACTTCTACTTTACATATTCTTAGCACTTAGTGCTATTTAATAAATAATCATTGTAATATTATCAATTAGTATTTATTGTATTATTATTAATTATTATTTATTATATTATTATTAATTATTCTAAAGCGTTATTTGGTGCTTGCAACTCGAGAATAAGTTAAATAATCATGCCTAACCATGTGCTTTAAGTCAGATTTAATTCGATACCTGTAAGTGACGTCACGTGAGTGTGTTATACCTGATTGGCCTCTGAATCAACAAATGCCACGATTTACCTACGATGACGACACTTACATGTATCCAGTTCTAAAACTTTTATTTTGCCAAGTATGTTGGGTAACTTTTTGAAAAAATCATAATATAGTACTAATATAAACCTGTTACTAAGCTGAACCTGTTACTAAGCTGAACCTGTAAACCTGTTACTAAGCTGAAAAGAGAAGGCAAGTTTCATTTTAAAATTATATGGAGAAATAAAATAAATTAAGTTTTTTTAATTCTGTACTTACTAATTTAAAACAGTAAACAACATAGATAAAAGTTTCAGAAAGTTTTCTAGAAAATAAGTTTCAAGTTATTAGTAAGAATAGTTTACTAGCAGTACAGAAAACAAAAAGTAACAGATACAACAAGCCATAATCAGATATCGTGGCAAAAATTTGATTCTATATTAAACTGCAAAAACAATAAGACATTTTCTTAGAAAAAATACGAAACTGAAAATCAGTTGGCCGTGTGTAGAACAATTTTTTATTGATCTGAATTCTTCCTGGAATGCTGAAACAATTGTTCTAATTCCAAGAACGACTTTTTGAAACATAAAGCTCATATCATCATAGGCGGACTGGCACTGATTTCTTGGAAAAGTCCTGGAAAATTTTACAATGTATTATGCAAGATGTAAATGCAATGCTTAAAAAGTAGTAAATACCAATAACAAAGAATTATTAGTCTTTTTTAAACTGTTTTTTAAAAGGATTTGTTTCATGTTTTAAAAGGCTCAAAATCTAATCTAATCTTTTAACTTATGTCGATTTGCCTGGTCGTAATTTTTAAGCTGTATTATTGCTACTTTCGTACTTATATCTAAGTATTTCATGCAATTTTACATTTAATTTAATTTATTTTATTGAAATACTTATCAAGCACTTCTCAAACAGTTTTTTTAAGTCATATGTAATTTCTTCTAATTGTAATGTTTTGGGATGTTTGCAATTATTTTTTAAAAGATTTTATAATTTTATCTCAAATCTATGACTCCATAAACCACCATTTCGAGTTTATATACCATTCAATATTTATGTCTGGCCCGAAAAATTCATTTGCTAATTTGCACGGTTAAAAGATAAAGTTTTTTTGCCATTTTTTTGAAAATTTAAGCATTTTTTTGCGGTAATTCCAAATAAAAAAGTTTAATTCTGATTTTTTCCTTGTTTAATGTGTATTTATGAAATCAATAAGTGAGGAAACCAACTGTAAGAGAAGCCAAGCTGGTCACTAAAGTTGGATTATATAGAAATTCCAAAAAAGAAAGTACAATTAGGATTTTTTTTTTCCTTGTTTAATGCGCATTTATTGAAATCAATAAGTGAGGAAACCAACTGTAAGAGCGGCCAATCTGCTGATCACCGAAGTTGGCATGGGATATTGCGTGAGCAGTTTTCTTTTTTATTAATAATATATTTTAAAAAAACAATCTTTTAACAAAACATTTTCTTAAATATTTTAAAAGTAAGGACTAAAATAATTTGATTTTCATCTTTATTCAAATTAGAAACTTTAATTAAATAATATTTTTTTTATAATGCAGGTGGAATATGATGAGAAACAACAATCTCGTGTGATGGTGAACTACTTGCAATGCAATGGTTTACTTGGTACAGAAGATCATTGCTTGGAAAGATTATCTTGTGAATTTGGAGATCCGGCCAACGAAGATGCACCGGAACTTGAAAGAACAGTCACATCCATGTAATCAAAACTATTTTTACAAAGAAAAAAAAATTGCCTATCTTTAATAGGAGCTTTTATCTAACTTTAATACTTTTACGATGTACACATTATTTTAAAAAGCAAAAAATTTAGAAAACTACATTTTTCAAGTAAACTTGAAGGGGATAAACTAATTTTTGAGGGACTTGAAATGAAAGAACATGCGGGGGGAACAATTTCGAAAAACATGGGGAGGAGGGGGGGGTAGTTGCAGTCAAACTTAACAAAATAGTGATACGCCTTACGTTTTCCCTTCTTCATGACAAAATAATTTTTTTTTAATTTTAATTTCACTTACTTACTTACTTTTTTTAAATTTGTACTTAAAAAGTTTAAATTTTAAAGTTTTTATTTTATTTAATCATTTACTCTTTTTTAAAATTTTGTGATTTTAATTTTTTTAAGTCGAGAATTGTCGAAAATTCAACAAGTAATAATTTTTTAGTAAAATGTACATTTAAACATCAAGTACGAAGTTCCAGTTGAAATCTTAAGACTTTATCTGTTTAATCATTGGTCAAAATATTAATTAACAAAAGTTCGCCTGTAAAATTCGCAAAAAAACAAACTTGATTAACAAGCTAGAATTTAATTTTAATTGTGACATCAAATGTGTAATTAGTCAGTACAAACTAAATTTTAAGTTACAAAAGCAGACAAAAAACGCTTATTTATCATTTTTTATTATTATTTTATTTAATAATGGTCAAAAATAATAAAAATTGTAAGGTATACAAATTTTTACATCATTTAAAAAAATGGTATATCGACAAAATACGATATTTGAATAGTTCCTGATGAAAAAAAAGCCTTTAGAAGGTCGAAGATTTAAAATTTAAATTCTCAGGAACTATTCGTCAAATTTCGTTCAAATTTTGCATCATAAAAGTAAATTCTTTAAATTGATATAAAATTTTGCATAACTTGTGGTTCAAAATGTTTTCGACTATTATTGAGTAAAATAATTAATAATTATTAAGAACTATTCTTTACATACAACTATCTTCGGATTTCTAAAATTGTGTACAAAAATTTTCAATTCGCTTTTACATTTTTTAAATTTGCAAAAAAAGTAAAATTAACATTTAGAAATCCAAGCCTTCGACAGCTCTCCTAACCCAATTATTCGGACCAAATTTTCCAGATTGAGGCTAACCCCTATATTTTGGGGGTTAAGATTCATTATCTGTTTAAAAAAATGTAAATTTATTCAGAAAAAGTACGTTTTTGTGCATGATTTTGCAAGTTAAAATATCATCTGTGATAACTAATTAGTATATTTAAGGTTCCCTTTTCATACCATTAAAATTGAGTCCAATAACGTGGAAATCAAATTAGATCAAAAAGCTATTCAAGGTATTCTTTTTTTGCGCATTGTCCATTGTTATAGATATAGACATATGGTTTATAGTCTATGCCATATTAGACTTACGGTTCAATTGTAAATTTCAGAGCTCTAGTTTATCGGGAAACTGTCGTAGTTTTGTTTCTTTATTTTAATGTTATTAAAGCTTTAAAATATTTATTTTAATTTTTAAGCGAATTAAAACATTTTTCCACACGAATATAAAACTCGCTTTTCCACAGATAATACCATTAAAAAAAATTTTTTTTAAATATTTATTATTTTTTATTATTTTATTTAAATATTAGTCGAAAATATTTTGAATAGTAAAGTATGCTATTATTTTTGCCATTTTAAAGTATGTAATCTTGCATAGAAAAATACGAAATTTGGGTGAAATAAGTAGAATAGTTTTTCAGAAATAAAATTTTGTGAAAGTCAAATAGTGTTTTCCATTTATTTATTTATTTATTTTTATTTATTTATTTATTTTCACTTATTTATTATTTATTTTCACTTATTTATTTATTTATTTTTATTTATTTATTTATTTTCACTTATTTATTTATTTATTTTCACTTATTTATTTATTTTTATTTATTTACTTATTTATTTATTTATTTTTATTTATTTATTTTTATTTATTTATTTATTTTTGGCTCACTGTGCACAAATGATGTTTCATGTCATTGTTATATCTATAAATTAAAATAGTTTCTACTCTTTAAACAGACTTTTAGGTCATATGTTGAACAATGAATTTATCCCTCGTCCTTTCAAGAAGCGTCTGAAAGCAGCCGCAGTACATGGACGAAGCAATTCGGGACAATGCAACAAATACTTCTGTCATTATGTGGATAACAACTGGGATTACACAGCGACGTACCCTCAATCCGGAAATATACCCCATCCTAATCACAGCTGAGTAATAATCCTACTGAAGCAAATGTCTGCAACAATAATACAAAAGGATAACGATAAACAATTGCAAAAAATGTCTTAATTCCTTGAAACCATCAGAGATCGTTGAAATCGGACATGAAATTATCTAGCATTTGTTTGAGACAATTTGTAAGCATATTATTGAAGATATTTAAGTTGTTTGTTTTAATCCATAAACATAAACTCATCTTAGGTTAATGATAAGAAACCTGTTCACTGTCATGTTTTTATTTGGTTACGTACTTGAATAAATATTTAATGATTTCTAAATATTTTGAATTATTTTTAGACAGAATTAAAGTTAGAAATTTGTTATTAAATACACTACTTATAATAATAACATAATTCTTACAATAGATGTGTGAGAATAAGCTGCTGTTGTTGAAGCAAATAAAGTGTAACAAATTATTTTTTGATAGCTAAATAAATTAATGATGGTTGTTTTTGTTGTTTCATAAAAATGACCATAAATAGTAAATTTCTCCAGTATTAGAATCAAACGTATTTAAAAAATAAAGATAACAACGTAACTCCACATTAATTAGTGAATTAGAACAAAATATAAAAAATGTGAGCTTTTCCAAAATCATCATTTGAATTTATTTATTGTTATTTATTTTTTAATTCATGTGTATGAGAAATATATTTCAAATAAAACAATACATAAATTTCTTTGTTGTCTGTATTTAGTTTAAACATTTTTAAAATTGAAGCAAGTTTTTGCCGTTTTACAGTTCAAAATACCGATATAATAATTAAAAGTTGAACCAATTTTTCATAGAGTATAAAACTATATTTTACAAATAATTTTTAAATTTATTTTCAATCAAAAAGTGTAAACGTTTTGATAATCACATCAACTTTATAATGCAATATAATCTTTTCATAATGTAATTGTAAACTGTTTAAAGGATTGTAATGTAATACGGTTTGGTGTTTAACAAATTAACGTGTAAGCGCTTTCATTCCGTAATCAGCTTTGTAATGAAATTTAAAGTTTTCAAAATAATATTGAAAATGTATTTACTATACCATTTGATGCAATGCTAAATGTATTTCATATTAAATGTATTGACGCATCAAACTGGTTGCATCAATTGCCGTTGCATTAATCTTTTTTTAAAACTGCGGTAAAATAAAAGGCTTCAGTCTGTATATCCAATTAATCGTAAAGTTTACGCTAAAGAGCATTTTTCTTCACTTTTATGGGCTTGAAACCATTTACAGCTTAAATGGTTTCAAATCCGAAAAATTAAATTTAGCTGGATATTGGAGCTAAATTATTTAATGTAAAGGATAATAGAATTAGGTTGTGGTTAAGTTTTTTTTTTTTTTTTTTTTTTTGTCGATTGATGTCCGTGGAGAATGAAGCTGGGTTTGGAATTTAATTGTTCCATCTATTGTGAGAGACTGGAAATACTAGATTTTTTTTGTGTAAAGCAGCTCTGTGATGCTGCTTGAGAGCTTCGTTTTCAAATAGTTCAGGGTCACTGAGAACTCTGGAAACTCCTCGTGTGCTGAAGGAATGGAGGAAATATTGTGGTATCTATAATGGGGCTCGAACCTCTGTTCTACCGGTCATGGGATTGATAGATTATTCTTCTCGATTAAAGTATGTTTCTATCTGCTTGATAATAAGTGGCATCATAAGGCATTCACCACACATTTATTACCATAAGAAGTTTAGGTAAAAAATGATGAAAAATAAAAATATGAATTCGTAATCTTAATCACAGAGTTCAGCCTCCAACTTTCAAAGAATGAGTGCTCGATTTCTTTTGGCTGTGGGTCTAGCTTTCGCAGATAAAATTCTGATTGCTGATCTGTGTAAGATGAAAACAGTCAACGAACGATTTTTTTCTCAGTTAACAGTTTGAATAGCATCATGTTTATGACTATTTGACTGCTCTGGTTGTATGTAGTGAAATAATAATTAAATAAACTGTTATTTTACTAAATTTCTAACGTTCAACATTGAATAAATTTTTCTGGAAGTGATAAATTTAAATTGTTACACATTATTTTTAACTTTTTTTTTATCACAAGAAATAAAAACATTTTTGCATTGTAATGCAATATTATGTTTTCAGAATGCAATTGTAAATGTGTTAAGTATTTTATCTGATTAGTACTATAATACGGTTCAACGATGAAGCAATTTTTCTGAAAGAGTCAAAATAAATCCTTACAAGCATTTTTACAATTTGTTTTCAACGATATAATATAAGAGTTTCATTAAGTAATCAAATTTGTCAAGTAATATAATGCTTCGATAACTTAATTAAAAAAATAAATTTCAAGATTGGATTAAATATGTATCATAGTTCAATGCTGAACCAATTTTCCTGAAAGAGTTAAAATAAATCCTTACAAGCTACTTTTAAAATTTATTTTTAATTTGAAAATATAAGCGTTTGATAAATTAATTAAATTTGTAAAACAATATAATGTTTTCATAAAGTAATTAAAAAGCAATTTTGAGATTGTATCAAATACGCATCATAATTCAACGTTGAACCAATTTTTCTGAAAATATTTATATAAATCCTTAAAAAATATTTTAAAATTTATAGCGAAAAATATAAGCGTTTCATTAAGTAATCAAATTTGTAAATTAATATAATGCTATCATAACGCAATTAAAAAACAATTTCGGGGTGTCATAAAATATGTATCATAATTCAACGTTGAACCCATTTTTCTGAAATTGTTTAAATAAATCACTATAAATTATTATAAAATCTATTTTCATTGAAAAACTGTAATCGGATTCATAAAACTATCAAATTTTGCTGCAATATAATGTTTTCATAACGTAATTAAAAACATGTTTGAGGATGCATCAAATTTGTATCATAGTTCAATATTGTACCAGGTTTTCTGAGAGCATTAAAATAATTCATTAGAAAATACTTTTGAATTTTTTTCAATAAAAAAGGTTAATTGTGATTGACTAATATTATTAAATGTAATGGATAAATTAGTAAAGTAGATATGATGCGATGTTCATTAAAATAGTTCAGTTCGTAAAAATATTTCGAACATTTGGTAACCTCCAATGTGTATATTGCTACAGTTATTTAATTACTGACCACAGGAATTTCAAATTGCGTGTGATAAGAAACCTATCAGAGGGACACTGGGAAACAAAATCATTATAGAAAGATTACACTTTTTACGTGACAGTATAACTGCCATAACTCACGCAAGGCGTGCAAGTAACGATCAAGTGATAATTGCTTACACAATATCCAAATGAAGTGATATCAAGACAACACGCTATTTTAGCTCAGATACCCGTTACACAAGAATTACTCAGTCCAATTTCATTTAAACACTATTTCCGGATACATTGAACCATGCTTGGTTTTCATTTTAAATAAAAACGTGAAGGTGTAAAAAATCTTGTATTAATATAATTGAACGTGAGTCCCTCCACCCCTACTTGCTCCAACTCCATCACACGGAGAAAAAAAAGTATTATCAAAACTATCATAATATGGTAAAATTTACCATGTTTCTGGCACTAATAGAGCAGAAAAATTTCAGCAATTTTTACTGAGGTGCTTTGGTAATAATTTTGGTAAAAATAACAATAAAATATGTTTTTATAATATTATATAAGAATTGTAATTTCATCATGACATAAAACCATTTATTTGGTTAAGTTTACTTATATAATTACTTTTATAGTTACATAGAAGAACCACAATGAAAAGAACCTGCACTGGGGATACTAGCCCATGGAAAGATCGAACTCACAACCTTCGAGTTATTTGCATGCCTCTCTAACCAACTGAGCTAATGGGTCACGCTTGCACATGGCAGAACAACTGAATAAGCATAAGAGAAAAAGTAGAAAAAATGCAACAAAAATAGCAAAATGTATTAAAAATAATAAACAAAGATATCTCACATAAAATTTTTGTTTTGAACCGTCTAACTCGTAAGCAAAAGAGTTGTTGCACTAATAGTGCAACGCGTGGAGAGTAGTCTTCTACGTTATAAGAGGTATACACATAACATTTTTTCTCCCTCATGAACAAAAGTGCTGTTGCACCAATAGTGCGACACGTGAGAGTAGTCTTTTACGCTGTAAGAAGTATCATGTATATAGCATTTTTTCTAAAGACGAACAACTTAGAAACTATTGAAGTGACTCCAAAATAAGTGACGAATTTTAACTCAGTGCTTCAGAATTTAAATTAAAGAAGTTTCGTTTCATTTAAACATTTTATGTTTTACTCGGTGTCATTTCCTTATTAGAGAGTAATTTTATTTTGCTATTTCAAAGTGAATTAATTAAACAAAATCTGCTTCCTAAAAACTGATGTTTTTTAATTATATTTTTGAAAGTAATAACCTGAAAGCAATATTTTTCTGACTCTAAACATCATCAATATCAAAAGATTTAAAAAAAAAAAACGCAAAAGCAAAGAAAATATTCTAAACCTTTTCCAGTGTTTTTAAGCGCCAAACTTAGTTTTAAACAATTATATATAAATAATTATATATAAATAATTATATATAAATAATTATATGTAAATAATTATATATGAATAATTATATATAAATAATTATATGTAAATAATTATATATGAATAATTATATGTAAATAATTATATATAAATAATTATATATAAATAATTTAAGCATGCTTGTATATTTTCTGTAACATAAGCAATTGCTTTTATTAAATCATGCTTATTTTCGCATAAATATTTAAATACAAATCATACGAAGAATTTTAATTTACTCATTTTTCTAAAATACATATCAATGAATTTACTGTTTGTTAAGATTTTAAGATTTTAATGAGTTAAATGTTGCATTGAATTGCATACAAACTTGTTTTCTCCTAAAATAAGAAAATTCTTATGTATAAAAATAGTTTTCCTGAACAATTTTTTAAATAGTATTATCTACTGAATTAGCATAGTATCATAAAATCTTAAAGAATTGCCAAAATTTTACGATAGTACTTAAGAAAATGCTGTATCAAAAAATATTTACCTCTATTTTTGGCACACTTTAAACGAAAATCATTGTTTACACCACTTTCATAATAAACCTTCGATCTCCACCAGAATTTCTACCAACTTTTTCAACAGTTTATGTGCCTTATATTTTTCGTTTTACATGTAAGAACAGTCGAGTAATTTTTCCCGTCTTAGTTTATCTTAAAAGTTCAGTTTTCAAAAATTTTTATTACACTCTATTTTTCTATATTTATAATAATCAATTTTACTACTTTTAATTCTTTAGTGAGTTTTTTTAGAGATAAAGCTCTTGCGAATTACGCAAGTTCTCCAGAATTACACTGAAGGTTTACCTAGATTTTATAAGAGAAAAACGGTAAAAATTAAAAAATATATATATATATTCGTGCTGTTTAAAAGAAGAAAAAAACTTTTTATTTTTTTGGAGTTTTTGGTTTTAATACAAAATCTTTTTGAGAGATGGCGGTGTGAATAGTAAACTAATAAATTAAAGAAAATGAAAATACATGTCACAGTAAGTGACTGATGGTCGATAATTCGAAAATATATATATATATATTTTTAAGGGCGGGCACTTGGGATGTA